GCATTAAACACAGAACTTCCACCTCCTTCATTCTTCTTCTCTATGTCTCTTATGTCAAATTGTCTTTTTGTAAAATGATGTGCCTCTTCTGCTTCCTCTGCTTCTGTCAGCATAGCCTCTTCCTCATCAGTATTCAATGGAGAGTAAGAAATGTCACACTCAATGGAGTCGGCATCTGAGGTAAGTATATTTACTTGATCAGAACCATGTTGATTCTTTAAATCCTCACCATTTTCCTGAGAAAACAAGCTAAAGAATCCAACTTGTTTTGTATCATCCGTACACTGTGTTTTTTCTTTAGATTCTTCATTATTGTCTAAAGAGGAAGTTCTTTTGTTGTTTATATTCGTAGTGTTTGCGAGTAATGAGTTCTGCTTTGGAGGTTTTCCCACATTCTGGGAATTATTCAGATCTACCCCAGAATCAAAGGCATTGCAAATATTGGATGGAACAGTACCACAAACAAAGGAATTATTTTCTATACTATTTGACAAGAATTCAGGGATATATTCCCCAGCTCTGCTTTGTGCAAGAAGTAAATGGCTGTACCGCTTGTAATGAGAAGGAATGGTTGAAGTGCACAGAAAACCATCAGGGCACTCTGAAGGGAAAAGGAAAAAAAGTATAAGTAGTTGTGAAAGCGTGTATCTGTAGAAAACAAAATACAGCCTTGGATTCAATTCTAAACTATCCAATGGATAAGCAATAGCAAATTGTCCAGTGAAAGGTAAAATCCTTTAATGCAGAATGAAGTTAATGTCAAATGAATTGACCATTATCCATGTATCTATTATTATAATAACCAGGTCATTATACACTTAATCACCAGATAGGGTATAAAAATAATGCTTAACTGTAAACTTCCAACAAAATGTCACCAATACCAGGAAATCTTTCCACTTAGTAAGGTAACTACAAATATACCCTTCACAGACTTCTCTAGGATGGCACTTCAGCTTTTGAGCTACAAGTCATAATATTTGGAATGTTGTTTACAGCTTTTATTTAAAACCAATCTGTAGCTGAATAATTTTTTTGTTGTTCTAAATTGTAATGATTGTTTATTTTATTAATCAATATTATCTTCAGTTGTGATTCCGGTTTTCAATTTTGCATTTTTGAATGCTGAAATAAAATCTGTTTAAACAGAATTTGGGAAAGTTGATTCTGCTATCGCTCTCTTTCTGGCACAGGCCATGTATTTGGTCAACAGTGAGACAAAAAAAATTAGTAGAGGAATCATCTTTTGACAAACTGTAGAAATAAGTGGCAGAGAAATCTTTGCCTTCTAGGTTTCCCACAGCTATATTACTCTTAAGTGTAAGGTAGTACAATCCATAGTTATACTAGTGGATCTAGAGATTCCTAGAGAAAACATGTTAATCAAAACTCTGAATAGTCAAGCCTACAAAGGCATAGGACAAGCTGTAGTTAAAAGACACCTTTACCCCCACTATAATCATACCTTTCTCAGCTGTGTTTGAGCCATCCAAACATTCTGTAACATGCCATTGAGGTGTCTGGATCAACAACAAGGAGAAAGGCATCTGACAACTTGGGCAGTGCCCTTCATAAACTGGCCGCGGTTTTGATGGGCTTTGTTTCTTGCAGCTTTTCTTTGGTTTTGCAGAAGCTGATGGCACACCTTCTTGTGACTGTGGAATGGAGTCATCATTGGAAACACTACACTGCTGCTCAGGTTTTAAGGTTGTTTTACTATGTCTCTTCCTTTGTCCCTGCTTCATCTTCCTGGAGGTATCTCTCTCTTTGGAGGCTCTCCCATTGCCACCTCTTTGTGACTTATCTTTTCCATCATTTGATTTTTGTACATTTTGAGAGATGGATTCCAAATCATCACTTACTGAAGTTATCTTTCTAATAGATTTGTACTCCCAAATATCTTCCTCCAACAGGCCATCTTTAGACATTGCAATCCAACAATGCACTTAAACAAATATGGTAGCAATTTGATATTTTCATATATGCTCATCTGTTTCCACCTCTGCATTTGTTTTTATTTCCAAATGTGCATGACTAAAACTTCTGCATGCCATTGGAAAAATCAGATTTGGCTATATATCTTGAATATTATTTAAATATTATAAACAATAATATAGCTTTAGTAGTTCAAATGGTTTGAAAAGTTTGAACTTTTTAGTTCAATGAATTACACCAAAAAAACAAAAAACAAAAAACAAACTAAACAAAGTAGAAAAACTACAGCTTCTACCTACTATTTGTAGGTATTTATAATTAAACTTTATAGGAAATTTGGTTAGATCATGTCAGAACTCTTCCACTGATTGCTTCACTTTCCTTAGTGCTCCTGAAATATAGAGCAATAAAAAGAGCAAAATTAATTTCTACTGATATACTTACGTATAAGTTTATTTAATATATAAATTAGTACAATAAACACAATAATACACAAAAGCATAACACAGTATAACACAAAAGCATAACAGAACTAAAAAAATAAAAACAAAAAATGCAAAACCAATATAATAAGCGAGACAGCAGTATAAAATCAGACATTAAACACACAGAATTATACGGGGCAGGGCCAAATTTAAGGATAAAAGTTTAAAACTTTAAAACACTGGGAGATTGGGCAATGGAATTTATTGGGGAGGGAGATCCGGATTGAAGAAGGAATTAATTGCACGAACCATAAAATAAAGTGCTTCTGAGGTCATTTGTGCAAAATTTGGTCAGGGAGTATCTTACATTCAATCACTGAAGGCACATTGGAATAACCAGGTTTTCAGATTCCTCCTGAATATTGCCAGCGTGGGGGCTTGCCTAATATCTCTGGGGAGTGAATTCCAGAGCCGGGAGGCCACCAGAGAGAAGGCCCTTTCTCTCATCCCCACAAGTCGCACTTGCGATGCAGGCGGGAGCGAGAGAAGATAATCCATGGATTTAGATGTCTACTGGGGGGGGGGGGGTCACGGTGTTACCTCATCTACACTGACCATTTAACACAGTTCAAAGTTAAAGTTAGCTTCAATTTGTGGCAGCCAGAGCACGAACACCCACAAAAGCATGCCAAAGAAAGCCCTTAATGTGCATCTAGTGCTGTGTCCTTTGGGTTATTACAATCCAGGCCTCAAACTGGTTCCATCTTATTCAAGAAAGCATTTGGTGAATAAATCTAGCACTGGGATTGTGGCGCAGCTGGCTGAGTGTCAGCTGCATTAAGATCACTCTGACCAAAAGGTCATGAGTTCGAAGCCAGCCCAGGTTGGAGTGGGTTTCCAACCAATTGTGTGTAGCCTGTTGTCGACCTTTGCAACCCGAAAGACAGTTGCATCTGTCAAGTAGGAAAATTAGGTACCACCTTAAAGTGTGGGGAGGCTAAATTAACTGATTTATGAGGCCATAAAGAAGACTTCCAGCGGGGAAGCATGTGGGGAATGCGGAAGTGCTTCATCAGCATCGCAGATGGACGATGAAAGAGACAGCTCCCCTGGCGGCCAGAAAAAGTTAAATAGCCTCTGTGTATGTCTGTATATGTTTGTATGTCAAAAATTGGCATTGAATGTTTGCCATATATGTGTACACTGTAATCCGCCCTGAGTCCCCTGCGGAGTGAGAAGGGCAGAATATAAAAGCTGTAAATAAATAAATAAATAAATAGGCTGGAGGACCACAATCCCCATTATGACCTGCGTCGTGCCATGAGGGGAGGCGGGTAAGAAATAAAATCATCTGTGCAATGAACTACTGTCTTCAATGCTGGTTTGAAGCCACATGAAATGGTCAGTGTAGAAAGGGCCTGCGTATACCAGACCAAAACCAAGTGGATACTAAAGGTTTCTTATAGTGTAAGGTTTGCAAATCAATCCCAAATCACATACCTCTGCTTTTAAACACAAAGGGTGGGCATTCCAGGAGTGATGGGAATACAACTCCCATCAGATTAATCAAAACGCATGGGAACTAAAGTGAAGCAATACCTGGAGGACCACAGGCTTCCCTCCTTAGTATTTACAATAAGAGGAAAGCGAAAAGAAGGGATAAGCGTCATACTCATGAGATTCCATCTGAACATTAGGAAGAACTTCCTGACTGTGAGAGTCGTTCAGTAGTGGAACTCTCTGCCCTGGAGTGTGGCAGAGTCTCCTTCTTTGGAAGCTTTTAAACAGAGGCTGGATGGCCATCTGTCAGGGGTGCTTTGAATGCAATATTCCTGTTTCTTGGCAGGGGGTTGGACTGGATGGCCCATGAGGTCTCTTCCAACTCTATGATTCTACCTTACCATCTATCAAATGAATAGGAAACAGCTGCTAGCAGTAACATGAACTCCAGGAAGAAAACAAATCTGAATTGTCTCTCTCCCCCCCGCCCCCCAACCACAGGCCTGGATCTCAATAGACATTGCCCTTTGGACTCTTGATTTCCAAATGAATGGCATCTCCCTTCAAGAGACGAGAATCTCATATCTGTGCCTGACAACACCAGGGAGAAAATGCACTATTCATTACCTATTAAGCACTCCCTACTTCAATTCCCGCTCACACATTCAGCGCCGCCATCAAATTCAAGTCTCCATTCCCTCCTCTTGGCAGCTCTCCCTTCCTCCTCCTGCTTCCTTGTATCATTCCAACAGTACCCGCACTTTCGCTACTACTCCTGTCATCATTCTGCGTCGTATTTACATAGCAACGATACATAAATAAATAAATACAATTTTTATTCATTTTCTCCCGCCAGAACCCAATCTGTTGATGTCCTTAACATTTTCCCGGTCCAAGTTCACCCGCGAAACGGCGGATGCCAAACCGCTGCTGTTTTGTGTCGAATGTGCCGTTTCGAAAAATTTTTTTGAAAGCAACAAAAAGATATTTTTAAATCCAAAGTCTGGCTTCGAATTAGAAGTTAAATAAATTATATATTTTACAGCAGGTCTATATATATGGGGTTTTGGTTTATTGAATGGGAACGGGCGGAGGAGTATCTCGAATGTGCGGAAGGCGAAACGGCAGGGCGGTAAACAGAGCTCAGCGCGGCCTCCTCTCTTTAGTGGCGGAAGATGGCGGCGTCTGGGCTGGGAGGCCTATTGCCCGCGCAGAGCCAGCTGGAGTTGGCGCTGGAGGAAGCCACGACGGCTCAGGAGAGAGAAAACCTGGTGTATCAGCACCTGCAAAAGGTGGATAGCTGGGAGCAGGATCTGAAAGTGCCCGAGTTTGGAGCAGGTGAGCTGTTTCTGCACTGCTTTGCTGACTGCAGAGTTCTGGCTGAAGTGCCAGACTGAGGAGAGAAGGAAGCGGAGGAAGACAGGCTCCTTGCAAACGACACTCTCTCAGCCCATGTTGATCCTCAAAAGTGAAAGAGTCTGTCCCAAAGTGAAGTCCCATCATATAGTCCTCTTTAAATTACACTCCTAGCCCAATTTAAGATACATCTACACTGCAGTTTGACAGCATAATAATTTGTACTCAATGCTATGGAATCATGGGGATTGTTTGTTTTCCAAGGTATTTGGCCTTCTCTGCCAAAATGCTGAGTGCCTCACCAGACTACAAATCCCAGCATTCCACAGCAATTAGCCCAGACTACCTGGATCTCGGCGGTGGCTGGGACAGCTTTTGTACAATTAAAACTTGTGCACCAGCTGAGCCCATTCCTTGGGAAGTCTGACTTGGCCATGGTGGTCCACGCTCTTGTTACATCCCAAATAGACTACAGCAACGCACTCTATGTGGGGCTGCCTTTGAAGACTATCTGGAAGCTTCAACTAGTACAGCGGTCAGCAGCCAGACAAGAGTCCTTTGTCCCACCCTGGTCATTCCACAGATATATAAACCCCTTTTTCCTAGTTCCAACAGACCTCGCTTCCTCTGAGGATGCTTGCCATAGATGCAGGCGAAACGTCAGGAGAAAATGCCTCTAGAACATGGCCATATAGCCTGAAAAAACGTACAACAACCCAGGTCAGCAGCCAGGTTGTTCACTGGAGCGACGTATAGGGAACACACAACTCCTTTGTTATGCCAACTCCACTGGCTGCCGATCAGCTTCCTAGCACAATTCAAAGTGCTGGTTTTAACCTTTAAAGCCCTAAACAGTTCCTGCCCAGACTACCTGTCCGAACGTATCTCATCTCACAAACCATCATGAAGTTTAAGATCTTCAAGAGAGGCCCTGCTCTCGAACCCACCATTATTGCAAATGCGGTTGGTGGGGATGAGAGACAGGGCCTTCTCGGCAGTCCCCCCCCCCGCCCCCCGTCTGTGGAGCTTTCTCCCCAGGGAGAAAGGTTGGCCACCTCCCTCCTGTCCTTTAGAAGACTATTGAAGACTTGGCTCTGGGACCAGGCGTTTGATTAATTGGATAGCGGCAATTGGAAAAGACTTAGAATATTTACTACATTGAATCTGCCTAGACTTGGATTTGGTTTTACTGGCTGTCTAATGAATTGTGTAATGTCTAATGTCTAATGAATTGTATAATGTGTTTTAATGATTTTTAATGTTTTAATGGTTTTTAATGCTTTAATTGTACTTCAAATTATCTGTTTGTTGACAGCATTGTATGGTGCTTATGTGAGGCCGCCCTGACTCCCCCTTCAGGGAGAGAAGGGCGGGGTAAAAGTGCATGAAATAAATAAATAAATAAATAAATAAAGGCAAGTAAACTATTAACTCTATAGCAGACCTGGGCAAACTTCAGCCATCCAGATGTTTTGAACTTCAGTTCCCACTGACTGTTAGGAATTGTGGGGGTTGAAGTCCCAAACACCTGGAGGGCCAATATTTGCCAAGGCCTGCTCTATAGTGTAGAGCAGGGGTCCCCAAAATTCCACCTTATCACATTGAGAAATTTCCCCCTCGCAGACTTCTTTTCAAGCATGGAGAGGCACTGAGCTCATCACATGAGTTGAACTACTTCTGGCTCTCATGCATAGCCCTCTGTGGTTGGAAAGAGGCAGAAGTGTCCTGAAAGGAGGGAACTCCAGCAATCAACCTCGTCACATTGAGAAATTTCCCCCTCAGAGGACACTTCAGCCTCTTTCATGCATGGAGAGCAGGGACCTCATCACATGTTCCAGGGTTGAAAAGAGGCAGGCATGTCCCAAAAGGAGGGAACTCTGAAGACTGGCCAGCAATTGTGTTGAGAGATCTTACCTCTTATCGTACTTTATTCCCATGTTTACAACTGAAAAACAGGTGGAAAGAGAACTATCAAAAGTTTCCAGTCCTCTTTCATTGCCCAACCAATCAGCAGTCTGTTGTATCCTAAGGGAATTGATACAGAACCATAGGATACCATGGAAAGCAATGGTTTTAACCTGGAGCACTGTCTCTTGTATCCTATAGCACCAGTTGTTAGGAATTGTAGGAGTTAAGGTCCAAAAACACCTGGAGGGCTGAAGTTTGCCCAGACCTAATATAGAGCAGGAGTATCCAAACTTTTCAATCTTATCACATTGAGACATTTCCCCCTCATAGGACACTTCAGCCTCTTTTCAAACACGGAGAGCTTATCGCATGAGTTAAATTACTTCTGGCCATCATCCATTGCACTCTGTGGTTGAAAAGAAGCAGAAGTGTCCTGTAAGGAGGGAACTCCAGCAATCAACCTTATCACATTGAGAAATTTCCCCCTGATAGGACACTTCAGGCTCTTTTCATGCATGGAGAGGTACAGAGCTCATTGCATGTTCCAGGTTTGAAAAGAGGCAGAAATGTCCTGAAAAGAGGTAACTCTGAACACGGGCCAGCAATCATGTTCAGAGATACTACCTCTAATTGCACTTTACTCCAATCTTTACAACTGAAAAACAGGTGGGATGGGAACCATCAAATGCTTCCAGCTCTGTTTCATTGCCCAACCAACAGTCTGTTGTATCCTATGAGGTTTGATGCAAAACCATAGGATCCTATGGAAAGCAATGATTTTAACCTGGCTCATTGTCTCTTGTATCCCCTGGAGTCCCATGCAGATCAGTGGGATCTCATGGAAAGCAATAGTTTTAACCTGACTCACTGTCTCTTGTATCCTCTGGGGTTTGATAAAGATGAATAGGATCCTATGGAAAGCAATGGTTTTAACCTCGCTCACTTTTTTTTGTATCCTCTGGGGTTACATGCGGATCAATAGGATTCCATGGAAAGCAATGGTTTTAACCTTATTCACTGTCTCTTGTATCATATGGGCTTTGATGAAGTTCAGTAGGATCCCATGGAAAGCAGTGGTTTTAACCTGACTCACTGTTTCTTGAATCCTAACTCCCTAACAGTTAAGAACTGTATCCTGGCATAGAGCCATAGTTTCAGCATTAAATTCTGCTTATTTTGAATAATTCATCTTTTCATCTTTATAGTATTAAACAGTGCATGAATTTAGAATTGGGTGAGGAAAGAGAATAAGAAATTTGCTTGTGTGTACATTAAGATATTTGCATGTGTGCATATGAGGTTCAACACATCTTGGAGATAATTTTCTTTAAAAAAAACTTCTGCCGTATTTTCCCTGCCCACCCTCCATCTTGATCCGCTTCAAAGGAAAATGTGAGGACGACAGGGGAGCATTTCCTGGGACTGACAGGTCTTTGTGTAGACCTTCTGTCAGGTCCCAGGATTTTTTGCCCCAGTTTTAAAACCTGTATTTTGGTGCTGTTGGGAAGTACTCTAAGTCAAAGCTTATTCACAGATAAGCTTACATTGACTTGTAGCCATCAACCCAAGTCCAGCAGGAAGGTAACAGCGCTCTATGCAGTCATGTCGGCCACATGACCTTGGAGGTGTCTACGTACAATGCTGGCTCTTTGGCTTTGAAATGAAGATGAGCACCAACCCCCAGGGGAAAACCTTTATCTTACATATCTTTTGGCTCACCATTCAGTATAGGTTAGGCATCCCATATCCTGAATTCTGAAACACTCCAAAATTCTCCACATTGGTGGTTGGGATAGTGATACCTTTGCTTTCTAATGGTTCAATGTCAACAAGTGTTTCATGCCCTGAAATATTAGAAATATTGTGTAAAACTTTTTTTAAGGTCTCATGAATCAATTGTATATGAATCATAAATTAATTTCATGTTTAGACTTGTGTTCCATTGCCAATGCATTTCATTTCCTTATCCAAAATAAAAAAAGTATTCCAAAATTCAAAACTTTTTGCCGCCAGCGATTGGCTTCCACTTTTCTTCCTTCATCTATGCCTGTCGCAGGCAGGCAGGAATGAACCCCTGCCTCCACTCCCAATATCATTGGTGAAAGCAGCCCTATGAAGTCACTATCACTGGCAGTGAAAGGAGGGCTGTCCTACTACCCTTACCTCACAAGTGCCGAGGTTATAGTGGTGGCAGCAGCAGCAGCAGTACAAAACCAACTAGTTTGTTTCCTTGCCTTTTTTTTTCCTGCCAGGGCTCTGTTGCTGCTGCTGCCGCCGCCTCCTCCTTATCATTGTGAAGTCGGTATGTGTGGAGTAAGGAGAGAGAGAACAGGAAGTTACAAGTAGTGTTGCCCCCAGTAATTATGGTGATGCCACTACCATCATGTTCACAGACTGAGAATCGTTTAGGTGGAAAAGAGGTATAGCTTGTAGCCAGAATACCCTCATGAAAAGTTGGAATGTTAAATTGCCTCTGTGTCTGTCTATATATATTGTGTGTCTATGGCATTGAATGTCTGCCATGTATATGTACATTGTAATCCGCCCTGAGTCCCCTGCGGAGTGAGAAGTTCAGAATATAAATACTGTAAATAATAAATAAATAAATATCCTCGCATAGGTCTCACACCTCCCATTTTTTCCCCACCTTTCCCTGTAATTGAAGGACAACTGCAACTGAGGAGAGCATGGGCAGGCAAGTGCAACTTGAACTGACACTTGAAGAACATTGACAAGTCTTTTTTATTATATGCAAATATGGATATTCCAAAATCTGGGGGTAAAAATCTAAATTCCAAAAAAACTTTTGGTCCCAGTTATTTTAGATAAATATTTCATTCAGCATTTCTGTTCTAGTTGGAAGTAACCAAAAGGCTTCAGACTTTAATTGTTAAACAATTGCCTCCAGTCTCTGAACAGTGTCACAAAGTTAAGTCTAGGTCTTTAATCATGCTTGCAGTTTTATTTTATTTTTACTCTTGTTCATTTAGAAAACTAATTCTCATGAATTCAAAAGCTTGTATACTTGTGATTTATGACATGCTAGTGGAAGTATTGATTTACTTTGCTTAATTTTTTGCTTAAATAAGGATAGTGCATAGGACTTATTTCTAAGATGTTACTGAGAAACTGGAGCATATGTTCTTTCAGGAAACCAACTCATTGTTCCATAATTTCTGCACTTTCGTGTAATGTCTTCATCCATATTCAGCACCCCTACAGACACAAAGCTAAATAAAACATAGGTTATTTTCCTGATAGTGCATCACGATGGTATTTATCAGCTTCCCTGGTAGCCATTAGGCAATCAGGGATTTCATGCAGGTGAATAAAACCTGATGGGTAAATGATAGCTGTCACTTCTACATCAACCCACTTGAGTATTGGCTGTGGAGAAAGAGATGTTTTGAATCTATGCATTTTGTGTTTACATGTTTTTCTCTTTCATGCATCACCTTTGAGGGGCATAGTAGGCTGAGAGCTGATACATACATGCCTTAAATACATACATAATTAATTACTGTCACCTATCTTTCTTATAACTTAGAATTGCACATTGTTTGACGTAATGCTGAGGAATTGTGATGGATGGTGAAATATTAGATTCATTTTGTATGAATTAATGAGGTTCCTTGGCTTTTGCTTCTTGAAAATAATATCCTAATCTGATTTCTGTTTTCAGATCTGCAGTGGCTGAATACCGAAGGTTCTCTCTCTTTGTACAAAGACCTTTGCGGGAAAGTAGTGGTATTAGATTTCTTCACTTATTGCTGCATCAATTGCATCCATGTGCTGCCTGATCTCCATGAATTAGAGCAAAAGTACTCTGTAACAGGTATCCCATTTTCTAACAATAGAATTTCTTGATATTATTGCAGTTAAAGTTGTTTACACGTATTAAATAGTATGTTATTAAATATTATGTCTTTTAGATGTATAATTCAATACTTAACAAAATACTTCCAAACAAATGCTCTTAAAAACCTTCTAGAAAGAGCTTCATTGATTGATTGTATTTGTCTGTATTTAGGGAAATCTTTCAAAATGTCAACAATTTAAAAGACCTCTTGCATTTAATTTAATTAACAAAATAAAGACTGGGCTTCACATTCTGGATATATGTTATACATAATCCCAGTGGGCTGGTGTGATGGCATTTTGGCAATATTTTTCATAAGAAAATCCAAACCTTCCTGATTACAAATGCAAAATAATAATAATAATAAGAAGAAGAAGAAGAAGAAGAAGAAGATAGAATCCTTTAAAAATAAAAATACTAAGTAGCAATTATGCTATTGCATGGATTAATAATAATATAAATTGTTTAAAATATCTAGGATCAGTATGATTTTCTAATTATTTAAATACTGTAGTGGTGTTTTATTTATATTTGTAATTTTTAATGTGAAATTATCATTTTTGAAGATGGCTTTGTTTATATGATAAATAGAAAATTCCTTTTGTAAACATTTTAAACCTACTTGAATGTAAGAATTCTGCATGTTTTAGAATATCAAAATCAAGCAAAGTAAGATGGGAATCAAGATCATTAAAATATTCTCATAAATACTGTGTCGTTAGTTGCCATCAGGTTTTTCTCTCTCTTTTTCTCTTCCTTCCTATGTCTTCTACTGCATCCAAAATTATTGTCTTTTCTAGTGAATCATGTCTTTTCATAATATGTTCAAATTATAACAAACTCAGTTCAGTCATCCTGGCTTCGGGAGAAGTTTGGGGTTAATATCTAGGACCTTGTGTTTGTCTTTAGCAGTCCACAGTGTGCTCTCCAACATCACATTTCAATTCAGTTGATTATCTTTCTATTGATTATCTTCCTATTGAGGCTGGTCTGGAGTAGCAGTCCTCCAGACTGGGTTGCTGTGAGTTTTTCAGGCTGTATGACCATGGTCCAGTAGCATTCTCTCCTGACATTCCACCTGCATCTTTGGCAGGCATCCTCAGAAGTTGTGAGGTCTGTTGGAAATAAGGCAGTGGATTTTATAAGATAGAGGTATTCCTCTGACATTAAGTCCAGTCGTGTTGGCTCTAGGGGTTGGTGCTCATCTCCATTTCTAGGTCGAAGAGCCGGCATGTGGGTCCAAAGTCATGTGGCTGGCATGACTGCATGGAGTGCTGTTACCTTCCTGCTAGAATGGTACCTATTGATCTACTCACATTTGCATGTTTTCGAACTGCCAGGTTTGGTTTTATATATCTGTGGAATGTCCAGGGTGGGAGAAAGAACTTTTGTCTGTTTGAGTAAAGTGTGAATGTTGCAATTAGCCAGCTTGATTAGAATTGAATAGCCTTGCAGCTTCAAAGCCTGGCTGTTACTGCCTGGGGGGATCCTTTGTTTGGGAAGTGTTTGCTGGCACTTGATGGCTGTCTGGAATTCCCCCATTTTTGAGTGGTGTTCTTTATTTGCTTGTCTTGATTCCGGTGTCTTTTAATACTGGTAACCAGATTTTGTTCATTTTCATGCTTTCTTCCTATCTGTTGAAATTGTTCACATGCTTGTAGATTTCAATTGCTTGTGGATCCTCCAGACTGTTTCTATTTTTATTTCTACTAACTAGATCAGGTAATGTCTTCCCTTGCAAGTTATATAGCATCCTCACTCTTGGTTTAAAATTTCCTTGGATTTTTAAAACTTGTAGAAGGGTCTCTTGCTCTTCCTTTTTTATTCTATTTTTTATTTCTCTTCATTGATTGTTACTGTAATTCTCTATTTCCTTGCACACAAGTTGTTTTTTATTCATTTATTAATTTTGTCGTGTCAGGAGCAACTTGAAAAACTGCAAGTCGCTTCTGGTGTGAGAGAATTGGCTGTCTGCAAGGACGTTGCCCAGGGGATGCCCGGATGTTTTGATGTTTTGCCATCCTTGTGGGAGGCATCTCTCATGTCCCCGCACGAGAAGCTGGAGCTGACAGAGGGAACTCATTTGTGCTCTCCCCGGATTTGAACCTGTGACCTGTCGGTCTTCAGTCCTCCTGGCACAAGGGTTTAACCCACTGGGCCACCGGGGGTTCACACAAGTTAGTAACAAGTTACATTCAGGCTTATGAACTTCTTTATGTCACTTTTTACTTTTGCTTTCCATGTATCCTTAAATACTTGAAGATTTTCCATGTGTCATCCATTGAAGTTCCTCTTTCATTTTGAATGCAAATAGTGTCATTTTGCAGTGTCATTGATTTCAGTTCAAAATTCTTCTCACTTTCAGTCAATTTTCAATATTGTAAATCTATTTTTACATTATATTTAAATTATTTGAGTGTGTTCATGTCATACTTTAACACAGTGATTGGCTTAATGTTCTTCTTTAACTTTGTTCTAATTTTCTATTAAATTGATCATGATCTGTGACCCAATCTGCTCCTTGTTACTATAGAGAGAATTGAGCTTCTCCATCTTCTCCTTCCAATTATGTAGTCTATTTGATTGTCATATTAACCATCAAATAACGTCAGTTCTTTGGTTGCCTGAAGAATGTGTTTGAAGTGGACAAACTATTAGCTTGTCAGAATTCAATCAGATGATCTTCAGCTCCATTTCTTGACCCTAGATAAGTTATACTACATTTTTTGTTTCTGCTCTGTTTTCTACTTTTGCATTGTAGTTGCCTAGCATTATCAGTCTGATTCAGTCAATTCTTTCTTGAACTCAGCATAGACTCTTTAAACTTAATCTTTTGCCTTTGGCTTAAAACTTAAACCTGGATTATGGCAGTACTGATGGATTTTTCTGAATTCCTATGAATAGTATTTCTTCAGACTTTGACTGCTTTTGTACATTGCTTCTCATTATTAATGCCACCATATTTCCTCTTAGATTTTTATTTCCATTTATTTGACACAAAATGCCCCCATCTTATCCACTTTAGCTGAACTCACCCCAAGAATTGCAATGAAAATACATTCAATTTCTTATGTAACAATGTCTAGCTTCCCCTGGTTCATGCTTTTCACATTCAATGTCACTATAATGTGTGTATTTCTTTGGATTTTCCTTTCACCTCTGAGTACATCAACAGCTGAGCATTTTTTAAGCTTGAGTCCAATGATGTCACTATACATTGTAGTTATGCCTTGCTCTTCTCCAGTAGTTCTTTGAATATGTCCACCCATGCAGTCTCATCATCTGACACAAGCTCTCATTTCATTTTGGACTGTACTACCGTAGGGTTTTCTCAGAAGACATTCAAAAGGGGTTGTTATTAATGCTTTCTTCTTACTTGCATGTATTAGATATGGTGCTACTGCCATTGTCTCTAACAGATCCTTTACTGATGTCACTCCCTACTGCTGCTGTTGCCCAGGAGCTGTTTAGCTAATTTAGTCTAGCTCCTCCATGAAAGCCTGTCTGACATGGGAGACCTTACCAGCAGCACTGCTACCGTCAATGTGTCCTTTTGCCTCACTACTGTAGAAGTGTTGTCCACGGAAAGCCTGATAAATATATTCCGAACGCATATCACTTTTTATGGTTGACATATTTTTACACTCATGCTGCAGATAGACTTTTAGTATACATCTGTTTAATGATATAATTCCATTATTATATTGCTGAGGTAGAAGATGGTTACAAAAAAGAACTGTTGTATGACATTTCCAAGATCATTGCATATTCTTTTGGTAATGTGTGCACATCTGGAATTTGAAGGTATATCTTGGAACAAATGTCAGATTCCAAAGAATTCATTCCAGCTACTGTGTTTATCTGATCTGTTCCCTGCTCTTATCATTGTTAGTGCTATTTCTGCATCCAAAAAGGCATTCACAAGGTTATTTTAAGCCCTAATGAACATTCATTTCACATCAACAATCTAGAAATGACTTGCTGGACTGCTGCTTGAGGAAGTGCTTCTTGATAGAAATTATTTGGGAGAGGGCCAGTTTGCCTCTGTTGTATAATGTTCTAAGTGTACATTTTCACATACTAGAAGTTTAACTTCCACAGCTATTCTTTTGTTACTGATGTAGGAATCCATGGATTTTATTTACTTTTCTCTTCAATTAAGGCTATCTTCTTAAGCACTATATGGGGCAGATAGATAGAGAGATAAACAAGATCCAAATTAAAATAAAATCTTTAGTATCAGAGTGCTAATTTGTAGTTCCGAATTGACCACTATAGTATGTAGAGCAACGTAGCTATGAATATATGTGGCACACAGCCAAGAAATTGTAATTGACCAAACACCTGGTACATTTACAGTCTGTTTTTACACATGAGTCTCTTATCCATAATATATTTCCCATGTTTTATTCAAACTGGGGCTGCCTTTCCATTGTTGTTTGAAGTAGCCCTAAATTTAGTAAATTTAGAGAATGGCCAGTCACTGAACCAGCTTGGAAGCTGATGATTGTCTGCACTGTACAACACTGCACTACGCCCCAGTGGCTGAATGATGTCTACATGGCTAGGTGAAGTCAGTTGGCATGGAACCCATTCACCATTCACACTCCCATCAATTCATTTGGCCTGTGTAGGTTCTCCCTAAGTCAAACAGATTTCACTTTGTGCTCTATTGCAACTTAAATGATGTGTTATTCATATCCCTTACTTCAGTAGTAAAATGACAGCTGGGACATTGTATTTATCCTACATGCAGCTCTTCCCCAGATCATGAAGAGTGAGGAAGGGCAGCAATATTTAGAAACCTATTGCGATGCCTGCCTTGAAATCTTCTGAATGTCAGGCCATGACAGAAGGATGTAAAGATCTGCCTTGATTACGCTGTACATTTGCTCTCACTAAACACTCTTCTCACTCTTTGAACTCTTGTGCCAGATTTAGATAAAAAGAAATTGGAATAGATCCAAGATGGGGACAGTTTTGCTATCTCATGCTGCTGTTCTTATTTTTGGGCTGAAATTATAACAAAGGATGCTTTTGAGAACCAGAGTGTCCTTGTTTCATTTAACAAATGATTACATACAATGTGTTTTAAAGGGGGCTTTCTCTAACTTACGTACTATTTTTGTACTTATACGTGTGTGTGTGTGTGCGTGCGTGCGCAGATAGGAATGAAACGTGTTGTGAGAATGACTCTTGAAACCTGATAGCTATCATTTTTCACAGTTCCTTGGATCTAATTAACAGAGCAGAATACCAGAATCTTATCTATGGTATTGCTGTCAACGGTGCATAATAGGATGGTAGGGAAAATTCCTTTGAGTTTTCAGTTTTTTGCACTAGAAGAGTGATACAATTTTATTTTATTTATTTTTTTAAATGGAAAGTTGAACTTTATCTTCTCCCCACTTCTTTGTTATATCTGGTTAAATCAATGGGCGTTTGTTTGGGCATGGTGGAAGTTGCAAAATAGGAACTAGGGGGAAATTTGCATTTGTTTTTAACATTTTCTCCATTGTTCATTTAATTGATTATAAATATTACTGGAAATGTATTTGCATCATTATTATCAACCAGTCACCACCGTCATAATCATAATTGCTAAAACGACTACAGTTCATTCAGTGTGTAACTTATTCTTCATGAAAGCTCAAGATGGCAAACCTTTCCATACCACAGCTTGATATTTGTGGAATCTCAGTGTTACTGTGCATTTTCCTGAACCTGTGTGGTGCTGTTGTTTTGAGTGTCAGACTAGAACTATGGGAGGCCAGCATTAAAACCCTGCTCAGCCACGGGGACCCACTAGGTAACCTTGGGAATTACATAATTATTCAACCTAAAAATGGATCAATGACAAACCTCCTCTGAATATATAATGCCAAGGAAACTGAATTATAGGACCAACATGAGTAGCCAGGTAACAAGAAATATTCTACAAAATACATGAAGACTAATAATAATACAGTTGAATATGTCATGTATTCATTTATATGTGTATTAAGCAGTTATTGTAATCTCTTTTTGAAGTATTGTATGTTGTGACTCCATACAATACTAACAGTTATTGCAGTTGGTGAGATGGTCAATTGCTTGTTTGGTTGTTGTTATGATTATTAGTATTATTAGATTGAGAAAAAATGCATTGTTTAAGTGGATAAGTATTCTCCACACCTGAAATCTGAACTTTCTGAAGTTAAGTTTTTATCAGATATAAAGAGACCAAGCATTCTAGTGGCAAATTCTCAGTTAATTTAGTTTATTAATGGCAACTTTGTGACAAATTTCTGTAGGACTATATAATAATTTTTCTTTAACTTTTCCAGTAACAGTTGGGTTTCCTTCAGTAGTCTTACAAAAATAATAACTGACGCTTCTACCTGTTGCGTCCTAAAAACTAATTTACTTGTTTGATACTTTAGTATCTTCTGTTATGTAAAAATCTTAAAGTACTGCTGTTAAAGTGGCATGAATCCAGAGATGCCGTTCTTCCAGAGTGAGATATCTTTTGTGTGCTAAAGGAATATTTATGACTGAGTTCAAATCTTTGCATTTGTTTTAAAAAATGGAAATCCAAAGACGTCTTTTCCTGAAATATTTTTCATAATGCCTTATTATAAATGCCACCTGAAGATGTTTCACAGTCTCTTTCACAAGGTATTTGATGAGCTCTTGCAAAACAGTTCACAGAGCAGCATCACTGACAGCATTTCTTCTTCATGTTCAGTTTTAGATGTTTAATATTTGCTTATCTTGGAGAAACAGGGATTTTAGAGTTTTGTAATTCTAAAGCATTTACAATTTTTTATAAGTTATCTATCCAAAAGCATTGCTAGCCATTTTGCAATGGTTTTAGAAGGGATTAAGAAAGAAAGCTATTTATATTTTAAAACAATAATTTGATTTGATCTTTACTATTAGTGATTTGATTTGATTTTTGTGTACTGTTAAAATTATCTTGGCATTTATCTTACAAATAGAAAGTTTCATAAAATGCCTTTATATTTTATAATCTCAGTCTCCTAGGAAAATAACTCAGGGGACATTGATATTTTAGATTGCATCTTTATTACTATAAATATTTCCTGGCAATTCAAACATGATATCAGGGGACCATTTTGACAATGACGCCATATGGATTAGATAGATACTAAGCTTGGATCAACAAGCCTGAGTCATTTTTCAGGAGTGACAGTGCACTTCTATATATAGTTCTCTGAGTGAAGTTGGGTGCTGTCTATCTATCTATCTATCTATCTATCTATCTATCTATGGAATTGCAGACTGAATGTCTCTAAACCAAGTGGGGAATCATATACAGGGAGTCCCCTAGTTACATACATCCAACTTACAAATGACTCATAGTTAAGAACAGGGATGAGACAACAGGAATAATGGAAATCTTCCCCTCAGAAGGGAAATTCACTCTTGAAAGAGTTATCATGCAGAAAAGCTATCTCAACTGAAGCTTTATCACCAATCCTTGTTTCCACGACCAGCTGAATTTTTCAAAATCCAATTATCACAGGGACAGAAAGTCAGATGAAAACTTCTGAACTATAGACAGCAAAACAAACTCCATGTGAGTGGTAACTCTTCCTTTCTATATACACATGCACACACATACTTTTACACATTTGTAGTTACACTTTAAAAATGTGTCTATTCTGGCTTACATACAAATTCAACTTAAGTACGAACCTACAGAATCTATTGCCGCACACCTGGTTTGGGAAGGCACCTCTGAACCAGTCTCATACTCCAGAATCCAATGACTAAGCAAAGTGGTTTATTGAAGATTAAATGTAGCTTCAGCAAAGGTATAAATTCAATTAAAAGTAATATAAAATATTGTCCATGTAAAAAAAGTCACTTAAAAATTTGGAAGCAATAATCCAAAAGACCAACTCACAGGCAAAGCCTTTAAACTGAAGACTTGGCACACAATACAATCCAGAGTATATGAGAAGCATAACAAAAATCCAAAAAGTTATGTGAGTTCATGATACCACTTGATTCCAGGAACAATACAAGAAACCATGAAAACCACATAGGAATATCCAAGGCCCATGAAGCTTGAAGCGAGAGAGAGGATTGCAACCCTTTACTAGACATTGATTCCTCTGAAGAATCAATCCAAATCAACCTTCATTTATACTTAAGAAACTATGTCTTTTTACTTGCGAACTCTGAGGAGTGGCATTCTTAGATAACAGTCTCAGAGAGCAGCATTTTCCTTTGGCTATTTGTCTTTGTTGACAAATCTTTTTTCTTCTATCTAACTCAGGGGAATCAGGCTGCTCTACATCCATAATTAACACATTCTGCTCAAATTCTGACCTTGATTCTCTTGGGAAAGCTAGCTCAGGCCTGTCAGCCTCTGGATCTGTCTGTAACTGAACATCTACTGGTGGCCTGACAATCCCAGAATCCTCAGCTCCATCATGCACAACAGCACTCTCCTGTCCAGAATCCCCATTTTCAGACCCCTGTGGGTCTGCAGAAGCTTGTTCACTGTTCTCTGAAATCTCAGGCAAAGAAGCAATCACAGATTGAACTATAACATCTATCATGTTCGTAATTTGGGGACTGCCTGTAAGCCTCCAGTTGTTATCAGAGCTAGTCAGCATAGCCAGTGGTGAGGAATGCCATTAGAGAGGAATGCTGCTAGAGTTGCAGTTCAACAACATGTGGAAATACACATGGTTCCCACTCCATTTTCAACCCTTTCACTGATGTATAACAATACACTCCATAGTTTCATACAGCACGGTTCAAATAACTTAAATTATGGTTAATATATACAATCTTTTTGATTGCTATATACAGTACAAACCCTGTAACCACAGGGGATACATTTCTGAATTTACTGCAGATAGAAAAAAATGTGGATAATAGAAAAACTTATTGAATAAATGACTTCCGGTAGAAGTATACCACAGTGTTAGAAGACCTAGGAAATACCTACAGAGGACACCTATCTAGACACTGCAAAGTCCTCCAGCACAACTCTGTGTTCAAAATTAGATGGAAGTATATCCTAAAATTGTGTGGAGGAGCTAGAAAATATCTAAAGAGGGTATCTTTTATCAGATGTCATATTTTACCAGATGATAGGGGTCATTGTTTCTTTTAATTTATCTGTATTTTCAGATGGTCTCTTTGTTGTCGGAGTTCATTCAGCAAAATTTCCAAATGAAAAGATTCTGGATAACATAAAAAGTGCTGTTCTGAGATACAACATCACTCACCCTGTGGTAAATGATGCTGATGCAACCCTGTGGCATGAGCTGGAAGTTTCCTGCTGGCCAACCTTGATCATCGTTGGGCCCCGTGGGAATATGCTGTTCACTGTGGTTGGTGAAGGACACAAGGAGAAATTGTTTCTATTTGCATCCATAGCCCTGAGGTATTACAAGGAACAAGGACACATCAATGCTAACACAATCGGAACACGACTCTATAGAGACACTTTGCCACCTTCACCTTTGTTGTTTCCTGGGAAGGTCACAGTGGACAGCTCGGGGGACAGATTGGTAATAGCCGATACTGGACATCATAGGATTTTGGTGGTGAAGAAAACTGGTCAAATTCTGTACACTGTTGGAGGTAAGAATAACATAAATGTATCGGCACATTGCTTTAAAGCAATCTCAGCAGATCCTTAATTCTGTGTTACCTGTTACAGTAGGGGGTATTAAAAACTAATTTTATGTCTATAAAACATTTCTTCAGTTATTTTTTTAAGTTTACATCATATTGGACTGACTTCCATGGAGATGATTAATTGATCATCACCAACATGAAAATGAAGGCACCACAAAGAACAGTAGCACTAATTAAAGTGTTTCGCCTAAATATAGTATATTTATAGTCAAGGTAATTAGATACAAGTGTCTAGTGATAAGTGCTTCAAAATATACTGTAAATCTGCTTTCTTCTTTAGGTTGCTCCCCATAAATCTTTCATCACTGTGAGTTCCTCCCTGTTGTGATTTGATTATATCCCAGAATATGTGACATGGAAATACTTGAAATCTAACTTTAAAATCATGATCCACAGTCTGTAGAGGTTCCCTTTCAGTTCCAAAGAAGTGACTGTCTTGACTCTGAAGGAGCTGGGGGAGGTGATGGCCGACAGGGAGCTCTGGCGTGGGATGAGGTCACGAAGTGTCGGAAGCGACTGAACAAATTAACAACAACAATGATAATGTTTCCTCTGATGTTATCATGTTGTTGAGTTAGATTCCTTCCATTCCTCCATCTGCATATATTTATTACATACATTGCTAAACATTACTGCAATAATTATATATTAGAATAGTTCCAAAATCCAAATTAGGTCAATGTATTTATTAGGCAAAATGACTGCATTAAAATGAGTGCAAGAATTTGAGAAACTTCAAACACATTTTTGTAACCTTTAAAAATTGACCTAATAACATTACTTTAATATTGAATTTGGAATTATTATGGTCAGTGTGATTTTTCTAAGTCAGAATAAGATTATGAAATTTTAGAAAAGTTATAACTGTTGAAAATATCATCTCAACATTACCTTCCTCTCCCCGAAAGATGGTGCATTTTAAAAAGTTTGGTTGTTATTTTTTAACAAATAAATTGAACTTAGAACTATTATCCTTCATTCCAAGCAAACTAGCAGGGGCGGCTCAATCCATTACGCAAAGTAAGCATTTGCAGTATAGTTGATTTTGCCCAGGTTTGCTCTTGGGGCGCTCTTGGGGAAAATAGACGTTGACATATGCGAGTTGTAGTTACTGGGATGTATAGTTCACCTACAATCAAAGAGCATTCTGAACTCCACCAATGATGGAATTGAACCAAATATGGCACACAGAATTCCCACGACGAACAGAAAATATATATCAGTGATTGTTGGGGGGGGGGGTGGGCACCAAAATACTGTTTGCTTACCGTTGAAAATTATCTAGGGCTGCCTCTGCAAACTACGTACTGCTTTTATGTTCAGTACTTAAAGTAAAGTGGGTAAAAAGTGTTACATGGGCTCCATAAATCTCTTCATGACTGTTTTAGGGGAGATAGCATCCACTTAAAAAAAAAAGATATTTGCCATTCCTAAAAATTCCTCCATACATCCTTCAGCTTTGCTCATCCCCCACTTCTCATGGAAGAGGTCTTTTTCCAAGCAGGAAGTAAATCAGAAATTGACCTATTAACTTCCAAGTTTGACAAAAGGGCTCCCATTAGGTATAAAATAACACAAGGAGGTGAAAGGGCAGCTCTCTGACAACTTATCCCAAGGCCAATTGGTATGACATACATTGGGTGGCTCTGGGAACACGAGATGGCCACATAAAAAGCTACAACCAGTTCCATTTCAGAACCCAACTTTTTCCATGGGCCTAAACCCAAGGGTTGCTCTGGATCCTGGGACACAATTCAGAGCAACCTACAACTTGGTTAACGATTTAACCACCACATAGATTTATTGATTAGCAATTTTATTGATTCACCACATAGATGATTCGGCTGCCTTTTGTGCTAAGTGGTCAGTATAGTTGTGTCCAAAGCCATGTTGGAGTTTTTGACAGAGCTACTACTTTATTATTTTATTTTTATTAAAAAATATTGTATTGACAATTTAAATATGGTTTTGGTTTGTCTTGGACTTTATTAAGCCGCTCAGAGCCTACAGTAGACCAGTAAGTAAATTGTAAATTTGCAAATTCAGGCATGGGAAACATGGCCAGGGCTTATGGCACTCCGAGTGCCTATTCCTGATTTAAGGTGCAGTTCCAGCAGGATTGCTTTTCTGTTACTTCTGCTAAAATGAAATCATGAAAAATGTGCGGAATATATTCCAGTGCCAATTCCCCCCCCCCCCCCAGTAAGAATAAGTTATTTTTTTGAAACAGCAAATAGAATAGAAACAGCAAATATGCTCAAAGATATAATACAGTTATAATACAGATCTCTCTAAACCACATACTGATTTTAAGAATCTTTTTAAATATTAAGAACTGCAGATTGCAAAACATTGTGTCTTCGTTGAATTTTTAAAATAAAGGGTTATAGGATTACTTTTTATTGGCCGTTTCAATTGTTGACCTTTTGCAAATTTTTATTCTGATTTGTTTGTTGTTTTCTGTTCTGTTAAGGACCGGATAGTGGAAGAAAAGATGGCACATTTTCAGAAGCCACATTTAATTCACCACAGGGGGTGGCCATAAAGAACAATATTATTTATGTAGCAGATACAGAAAACCATCTGATTAGAAAGGTAAACTTTCTTAATTGAGAAAAAATTAAAGTATAATGGTTACATTTTTTCCTAGGATCATGGACAGAAAGTGATGTCAAAGCAATTATTCAAGGACTATGCAGTGTAACCGAAAGTAGAATACTGCCAAGTATTTATAAATATATTTTAAAGTATTTGGAACAGACTGATTTTTCTCTTGACATATGCTTTTAAGGCAAGTTATTAGAGTCAACAATTTAATGCTTTTCTAAAGAGAAAGGAATGTGGTAATAATGTTGTGTGCTGTGATTTCTATATTCCATTTTTAAATTTTAAAATAATGATATTGTGGCTCTTCAGGATCATATGTTTTGTCTCCATTCCTTTGGAAGACATCTAGGAATATAATTTGGACTACAGTATATCCTATTTATGTTCATTTCCAGCATTTTAAACTTAAGAAGTTTTTCTAAGATCAACACACGTTTGCATTTTTTCTACATATAGAATACCAAGCCACATTTCTCAGTACAACCTCCGTATGCACTGGGGATACGTTTCTGGATTTCAGGTGGATATGTGTAATCCAGAAACTACAGATAGTAGTAAACCCAACTGAAATGGAGGATTCTGGTCCAAGAATACTGTAGTTACACTGAAGAACCTAGAAAATGGATGTCATACTGTATAATACTGAGGAAACCCACAGTATCACCACAATTGTAAACAAATCAAATCCATTTTACCTTATTGCCAGTGTAATGTACATCATCAGAGAGAAATTAAAATTCTTAACTTAATTCTAGGTTGACTTGCAGTCAGAAATGGTGACCACTGTTGCAGGAGTTGGGATACAAGGCACAGATAAGGAAGGAGGAGCCAGAGGAGACGAGCAGCCTATTAGTTCACCATGGGATGTTGCCTTTGGAACTTCAGGTATTTTTGTGAAAATTGCAATCTTCACACTGTATTAAATTGTGATCCATTTTACAGTTTGCAGATTAATTTAGCCATGTAGAACCAGTCAGTTATAATATTTTAATGTCTCAACATGGCATGGTGTGGTTTTCTGACTTTTTAAGAAACCAGGTCTTCTAACCATTTGCGATTTATTAAACTACAGAATGAAGCTTTAAATAACATTAATTTCTTAGTTCGTGAACTCTTGTGTTTTCTTTTTAAAGCATTGGCTGTTGTCTGAACCAGCAATTGTATGTTGTTCTTGATTTGCTTCTATAGCACTCTACTGTGAAAGGAGTTGAGAAAAGAGAAAGGAGAAAAAACAACCAAGTAATGAGTTATACAAGCCATGATTTGTTTGTAATTTGTAGACATGCTAAATGTCTACAAATTTTTGGACTGCATGTGATTATGGGTGGATCTTCACTGACCTTTATCCCAGAGCCAATCTGGCGTGGCGTACACTGGATCAACCCCAGGATGATGAGAGGGAGTCCTGAACACCTAATGGTGCCTAACTCAGTTCTGCACTATCAGACGGCCACCCTTAGCACCTCCCTAGTTCTCATTGTCATGGCGGTCTGCAGGTGCAACATGGGTCTTGCTGGTGGGATACTAGAGTAATGAAGGAGGGGTAAGAGCAGAGGTTGTTCCTTTCTCTCCCCACCCTGTCTATGATTGCTTTGTTTCTTTGGCTGACATCACTCCACATGTCAACTCACTGGCAGAGATTGCTGTGACAAGGGAACAGGAGGTAACAGTGAGTGCCACCTGAGCCCAGACAACAAGAGATAGCCATGTAAATAGTTGTGGCCAGTTCCATCTGGGAACTGGTCCAACTGTTTACATGGGCTCAAAGCTGCAGGTTGTTCCAACTTCTCGGGTAGCAACCTACAACTTTAGTTAAAGCTACATTAAGCAGCTTTGTTCCACATTAAACCAGATGAGCTCCATGTGGTTTACCCACCACAGAGCTGATTAGGGCACTTTTCGCACAAGGCACTTCCACACATGACTTAAATGCACTGAAGTGAGTTTTTAAAACCTGCTTCGGTACAAGTTTAAGTCCACACATACTTTCAAAAACCCAGGCTTTCCCAAAGGTCGGGGGGGGGGTCTACATCCCAATAACAATCGGGATGGCATGCAGCCACTCCAAAGCCCCCCAAATTGATTTGGTTTTCCAGTAAAACCGAGATAGGTCTTGGTTTTAAGGCCTCTCAAGGGGAGCCCTAAGTGTTTAGTGTAGATGTGCCCAAAGTCTCAGAAACAACTATCAGATTCTACACATTGGGTGATCATTATAATTGTATTGGTCTTTTTACTAGATGTACGCACTAAGATCATAAGCCCATTTCCATATTAGAAAGTGGTTCTTTCTGTAGCGCGACACCATTTTGTTGGAGTAGACATGAGTTCATCATAATAGGTGGAAAAATTTAAAGCCTTAAAACAGCTTTTTGTAGAATAACAAACCAGACATTTCATAACTTTCAAGCTTGCCTTATGTTTCCAACTTTACAGAAAGAGCTAGTTTAGAGGCTTACATTTCTGAATGCCCCCCCCCCACATTCCTTTGCTTATAAGCTGTAGTTTATTTGGTTCCTTTAGAATTCTTTAAATAATATGTTACATACATTGTACAGGAGTCTTAACATTTTATTAATGGCTGTGTACTTTTCAACTTTCTGTACCATCCTCTTCTATTTTTACTCAGTGCTGTTGAAAGCAAGCAGTGCTAAATGCATTTTCGGTTGAAGTGTGAAATGTTCTTGATAGCAGCATTCTTTCTCAAAGGCGCAGAGCTATGACCCAGGAGCCACATATAGTTTAAATTTGGAAGCTTTTTGAGAAACAGTTCCATCGATGTATAAAAATGCTATCTAGTATACAATTGTAAGTGAATTATACTTTAATCAGCAGACTATTGAAGAATATGGTCCTGATGAAAAAGGGCAGGGTTTCAAACTGTCTGTAAGCAGACTATCACTTGTGGTAGATAATGGGGATAATTTTTTCCATTTAGCACTGGTTCATTCATGAAAGAACACCTTGGGGTGCACCATTGGAGGCACTATTCTTCACTTAGAAATTTGAATCAGCCCTTCAGATTACATCCCATTGTTTTTAAGTAATATTAATGTTTTGACAAATTTAAAACTTGTGTGTGTGTTTTAATATGTATTGTATGTAAACATGTTTTAATTGAGTGTTCCCTCACTTACCACAGGGGTTCCGTTCCAGGACCACCCACAATAAGTGAAAATCCACTAAGTAGGGATTCTATATTAATTTTAATATTTATACATTATTTTACATATTTTATATATTATTTTCTTACCTGTGCTTCCTTACCCGCCTCCCAGCCCATCCCGAGGGTGCCTGCCTACCTCCCTGGCCTCTGTAGACCCCACCAGAGCCTCCGGAGCCGTGGAGGCAGCAGCAGGCGAGGCAGCCAGGCCTTCCCTGCTGTGCCTCAGGCCACTGCACTTCTGGGGTCTGTGGAGGCCAGGGAGGCAGGCCTTCCCCGCCACGCCTCAGGCTGCTGCACTTCCAGTGTCCTTGGCCTCCACTGGATGTAAATATTTTATATTTTCAAAAACCCGTGAAACAGCGAGTCCTCATAAAGCAAACCACAAAGTAGCGAGGGATCACTGTATGTGTATTTTACAGGGTGCTTTTAAATGATTATGTGTTTTGATTGTGTGTTTTAACCACGTTGTAATCCTTGAGCCATGAGGAGAGGCAGGGAAGAAATTATTATTATTATTATTATTATTATTATTACTACTATTATTTATGAGGGCACTATGTGACATAAGATTGATGCCGAGTTGTGGAAGGTGAGCTATGAAGCCTGTCAGATACTTTCCATAAAATTATTGATTATTATGACTTAATTTCCACGCAAAAAGGTTTTCACCTAGTTAAGTGATAGTGTGAACTGTCATCTATCAGTGCTTTCAGCTCTACTCTATTTCCATTACAGTAGTCTCTCCGTTAACTGGCAACCATACAGATTGGTAGATACTAGATCAATATAGTCTCTAGTTGCTTGAGAATGACTATTTAAAAATGGATACTATACCCCATAGTATACCATACCTTGGAGTGTGTGGGGACCATTTTTCATAAAAAGTAAATATGCAGATATATGGGTGTAATGCAGCCCCTTAAGTTCTCAGGAGGGGAAGGGAGGGTAGTGTGGTTATAAAATCTTAGCATTTGCCCAACCCAATATTAGAGGAATATGCATGATTAAAATGGCCATGTTTGTGAGTAAATTGAGGTAAAGTTGTTCATGAAGGGACTAAAAGTTAGCTAAACAGTGGAGAGGTTTTTTTTTTTTTTTAAATCCAGATCAGAATCAAAATGTAATGGTAAAGTCTTAGCCAAAGGTCAGGCAAATAGAGCAGCTGGGAATTTTCCCTGTTTTGGAAAAAAAAAACATTACAGTGTATGGTTTAATTGAAAGTGAATAAGAGTAATCTTAGATCTTGAATTTTTTAAAAGGAAGACAGAAGAAGCATTGGGTGAATTTTAAAGAACCTTCCGTATACCTAATGTACTTTATTATCTTTCTTATATACTTTTCATATATCTAATTAAAATGTTTCAGCAGTTCCTAAAATAACTACTTGCCATTAAATATTTTATTTATAAAATGTATATATGTTAAAGTACAGAATAATAAATAAATAAATAAATAAATATCTTTCTTTATATTCTGCTCTATCTCCCCAAGGGGACTCGGGCAGATTCCAACATACGAAAAGACAAACGTTCAGTTCCTCAATAAAACAGACAAATGTTAATGAGTAATCCAAAATAACCCCACATATGAAAATAACATGAATTAAACAAAATGTATTCAAACAAATTTATATAATAACATAAAACCTAAACAGTAAAACATCTGCATTGATTTACAAAAAGCCAACTGAAGTTCGGAAAGACATGTAGGTTGATTGTGAGGCCAGTGTTGACAGTTGGGCCAAAATGAACTAGCAGAGCCTGAATACAACAATTGTGCTTGACCGAAGGTCCAGAATTGATATCTCATTATCTAATCCTCCTCCTTTCTGTATGCTAGTGAGCAAAGATGAATCTTCAGTTGTTTTTTGAAGGAGAGTGGGAAGGGGGCTGCCTTTATTTCTTTAGGGAGTGAGTTTCTGAGGTGGGGGGTGGGCGATCGTGAAGAAGGCTCTCTCTCTCGTTCCCACCAGCCTTGCTTCAAATGGGGTTGGGACTGAGAGCAGGGCCTGCTCCACTGACCGCAGTGCCCAAGCTGGTTTGTAAGAGGAGATGCAATTGGTCAAATAGAATGTGTGGCAGGTTAGATTTAATAATGAAAGAAAAAGTAACTGGAAACATTCTTTCTAGCTGCCAGAAGAATATATAGATATGTACTAAAATGATAAAAGCCTACAGTGGTAAGAAATAAATAAAATAAATCAGCTTAAATTTATGTGCATGAAAGGGAGCATTAGGTACAAAAATTCATGGACATCAGCATAAAAATAGACACATCAAAATCTAAGTAATACTTCTGCTTAATTTGATACCCAGAATCGCTGGAGAAGAAATGATGTGATTTAGCTTGACTTTCAAAATTGCCAGGTTGCTTTTACTGCACTATGTTATTCTCCCAATCCAAGACATTTATGGCACTTTAAAATCAAGGTGGCTTATTCTTTGTAAAATGGGGCTGCTAAAGTACTAGCTTAATAATACTTTAAATACCAAACTGAACTTACAACCCCATATCACCTTTGTAAGGTCACAGAACACTTGAAGGCTTTTCCTATCATATCTTCCCAGTTTGGTGTTACTGAAGGTCTGCAATCATGGTTGCATTTGCTGTGCTAGCCCAGTAAAGAATATGAGGATACAAAAGGAATGCCCTCATATCCCATTCTTAGGAACCATTTCAAGATACCTATAGGTCAATTAAAACTCATTTACAGAAGAAGGGG